CCCCCCCGAGTATATCTCTAAATAGGCTGTTCAAGCGGGCAAGAGGGGTTAACCCTGTAAGTAGAGGGCGTCATTTAGAGTTCTGCTAGATACCTAATCTTGCTGAGAGAGATGAATCTCGCTCTCAAAATTCGTTCATGCGTCTAAAACTTGGAAACATCCTAATTCTAGCCCACAAAGCTGATTTTTTTTCTTTATGATTTTGTTTAAAAAGTTTTTTTTTGTTAAAAATGCGCATTTGGATTTGTGTTAGGTATTTAATCTCGCTAACGTTAGTCGTATTAAAAATAACTAGTCGGCAGCGTAGCAAAAGCCACTATTTTGCAGGGCCGGCCTTAGGCCATTGCATCCAATGCGACTGCAGTGAGCCCCGCACTTTCAAAGGACCCACACTCTCATAGGACCCGCGCTAATTCAAGGTGCATAAATTATTAAATTAAACCATTTTATAACTTAAAACAGATTTCCCGCTCCCTCCTTTCGATTTACCAGGAGCAAAATATACGAAAAGTCCTTAAAATATACTAAAATATATAGACAAAAAATAGACAAAACAATGGTTAAGTCCGTCCCGTTATTTAGTGTTTTATATGTTTCGGATGTTCCGTAAGAGTTGACGACAGTTTGCTTCCTAGTCCAGGCTTTCCGCAAGACAAGGGGGATGGATGGGAGCGGGTAGGGTTTGAACGACAGTCCAGCGCGCAAGCCGCATGACCAGGTAGCCATCCTTGGTGACGGGTGAATACTACTTGTTTTCCACCTTCTTGTTATTTTTTTGTGGGGGTAACTCTATCCGCAGAAATAAAAGAGCGATCTTTCCTTTATTTAGCATAAGGTGCATTTTGGACCTCTGAGCCACGAAGAGAATTATATAGATAGATTATAGTAGCCATTTGATGGGATTTAATTTCATCTTATTTATTTATGTTGTTGTTTTTTATATTTTTGATATTTCTTTTCGTATTTAGTAATTTATAGACGCGTCATCAACAGCAGAAATCTTAAGATATTTATACTATGCGTATTAATAAGTTAACACAGGGGCGTAACTAGGAATGTTCCATCATATGGGGGCCCAAGGGGCTTGATCTCTATGAGGGCCCCTTCATTTAACGAAATTTTTTATGTAAAAAAACATTCATTTGGGGGCCCACCTAGGGTGGGGCCCGGGGAATTTCAAACTCGCCCTCCTCTCATCCTGGCTATGCCACTGGGTTAACAAGTAAAACCTGACTTAAACCTACTGCAATTCATGTTCCTGGTTAATTAAGGCTACCATTACATGCAACCACACACAATACATAAAATATAGTTTAGTTAACATTTCTGCAGAACTAATTATTAAAGGTCCATATAAAATGTACTTCCTCCATCAGTCAAATCAATGTTGTGCGACTCCGTTTAGAACGCCTAAACTTGAAAATCCAATTCCATGATATTTTAGGTGTTCTGATGTAACGATTACTTTTAACAAAGCTTACTTTTAACAAAGCTTACATCAACTCAATCTGTCTCTCTGGTAAAACGTTTGTAAACGTAATATCTCCCACACCCATTCTCGGATCTAAAAGAAATTTTGGACAAGTATTCTTTTATTTCTTTATAGACAGAAAGGCAGACCACACAAAACTTATAGTGGCTATTATCCTTTCGAGGGCCGCTAAAAAAAACTATTGGTATTTAATTAGCTTGCTTGGTATCGAACATGGGAAAGATCCTACGTGGTATGAATCGAATGTGTTTCCTTAATATATTATGTAGAGAATTCAAAAAATTGATCACGACTATTCGTTCACCCAGCTATTTGTTCACCAGGTATATCGCTCACCGACATTGTGGTCATCTAACATCCAAAACTACCAAATTTTGCAATTAAGGTTGATGACATGGATTATTTTCTTAAATACTTTCTAACACAGGCTACATATGTTTTCACATGTCAAAATCACGGGTTCGATACTCGGTTTTAGCCAGTCGTTTCCTTCTTATTGTTTCTTATTTTATTTTCTTTAAACTGTATCATGGAGGTATTGTCTTTTGAAACAAATGTATTTTAAAATGCTTTTTCTTGTATGTAATGAAGTTCATTTTCGGCAATGAGCCCACAATGTACCAAATAAGAAGACGGGAAGCAGTCAATAACTTCTATACAATGACCAACTGCAGGATATACTATTGAAATCGGTTATTTGTAAACACAATTTATGTTATCTTTGTTTAGGCACTGGATGAAGTTAGTCGTATGTGGATACTTCAATAAGCTGCTCCTGTAGTAAAATGGATTCATCTGTGATTAGGATCTGAGTTTGTTCACGCTCAAAGTTCAATGTGCTGTCGGGAATATACAATAGAAGGATGTCTTTAAATCACACAATAGTTTGTAATACATATTAAACAGTAGTGAAATTATCCGATTGGGAAGAAGCTATTTTAATTGTATAAAAGTTTCATCCTTCTCTGGACCCACTAAGGTCGTCTTGCGGTACCATGGAGTTCAGTGAAACTTAATTTGAGAACATTTGCTTTAGACAAAAGATTATGAAATGCTAAAAGATCTCACTCGGTGCACCAATGTCTATGATCCTTGGACAAGCTGCTCGTATAGAAGACATTTTTTAGTCTAACTAGGACGTGTGACGTAGAGGAATTTTTTTCCTTTGACGTCATATGGAGTTAATTCTTTAAATGAAATGCTAAAAGAACTCACTCGGTGCACCAATGTCTATGATCCTTCGACAAGCTGCTCGTATAGAAGACATTTTTTGGTCTAACTAGGCCGTGTGACGTAGTGGATTTTTTTCCTTTGACGTCATATGGAATAGAAATGAATGAAATGCTAAACAACTCGGTATAGTAATGTTACTCGCATTTAAAAAAGACATAATAGCTAGATTTAGATCTAATCTAGATTTTTTACACTAGATCTAGATTTTTTCTTACACTAGAGCTAGATTTTTAAACCTAGATTTAGATTAAAGTTTTAATTAAAATCCTTATAGAATCTAGATTTAGAATTTCTTGGTCTAGTTTAGAATGTTTGTTGTTTTACATGTTTCGGATGTTCCTTCAGAGTTTTGTTGTCCAAACCTCCCGAAGGACGGCTGGGGATGGGAGCGGGCAGGGTTTGAACCTTGGACCATCGATGAATCCAAACGACAGTCCAGCGCGCAAACCGCACTACCAGACAACCATGATTTAGACTAGATCAAGATCTATAATTTTAATTTCTAGGCTTAAAGTGTAGATTTTTATTTTTAAAGTCTAGATTATCAATATGTCAATATTGCAATGTTATAAAATTCTAAAACTAATCTACTATTTTAATATTTCATATTGCAATTAGTCTATTAATTGATTATCTAGTGTTTTTTCTTATATAAATCTTATCTAAATTACATCTACATTATCCCAAATATATTTTTTAGATCTAGATCTAGTATATTGATTTTGAGAGTGCTAAATTAGTAGTTTAATTTAGGTAGATCTACATCCTCATTCTAGTTCCATTTAAATGAAAATGCTCAATACCAAAAGATTATCTAAAATCTTTCTACTTTCATATTGTACATATCCGGTAGTTGTCATTCTGTATTGTGTAGGTATATTATCAATAGTAGCCTTTTAGTTTGTAACCAGTTTGTCATTAGATTAAGAGCAATGCCTGGTCGTGCGGTTAGCGCGCAGGACTGATTATCTCTACGGTCTCGGTTTCATACCCTGCTCGATCCCATCCTCAGTCGACCAGCGAATATACGGATCCGACAGGGATCCGTCTCCCACGGGGGCCGCCTCTGAGTTTGTGTTGCCACACAAACTCTCTTTGTGATCTTGTTTTTTTCTTTTGATCGGTAAAGTCTTCCAATTCGAAAAGTTGCTTTCGTGTTCTTTTAGTTCTAAATCTCAATGTACATGGCGATTAGAAAAGAAAGTATCTTAAGTCTCCATACAGAACACGTGTAGAACGTAATTATCTTCTTTTTTTGAAGTAACCTCTGTACTTCATAAGATAAAGTCTACAAAACCGCATCTCACGTCATATCATTTACATTGCCTAAAATTATTGGGCTCCTATTGTCTTGATAAAAGTATTTGCAGTGTAAAGTCACAAATGGTTACGTTCAAACGTTAACATTGCAGTTAGTATATTCATTAATTCTTTAGTACGAATTCTCTGTTACGCTGACCACCTTTCAGCTCACTATAAAAAGATTGCCTTTGGCATATGTTTGTCTCCCTTACGGGACACGTGCCCTGCCCAGTGTGACTGTCGGGGTTCATGCCTGCGTTTTACCGAGGTTTATAGTTAAACCAAAAGATGCGGCAGCTTACACAAATTCATTGACCGTGAGCTAGATATCATGTTCTGTGTGAGCAAGTAAGGCGTAGAGAAGCTGTGTTATGACCATTTCCTTTGTCTTGGTATGGGACAGTAGACTTCGAAGGTTGAACATATGGTAATAATTCACAAGCAAAATAATGATAAAGTACATTCTACCTACACGTCTCTACGTAATTAAAGTGTAAACAATTTATAAATCACTGAAAACAAAATAACTCATTCTACATTGGCAAATAAAATTTCATTATTTCTCTCTTCCATAGTTCTATGATATATCATTCTACAACTTGGTGCGCGAATGTTTAATTAAGTCAGCTGATTCATTAAAGCTTGTTCTTATTTGCAAAGCCTAGTGACGTAAGCGTGCCATGTTTTTTTTTCCTTTGACGTCATGGCAATTTTTTATTCATAAAACATTCCTGCCAAAATTAATTTTTCGAAATTGAAACATTTTCAAACGATATAACGGTAACCCTAACCCTAGCCCTTGTGACCAATGAGTTGAGATTTTTTTCTCATTCCTATTCATATACGTTTAGATATTAAACAAAATCGTTCTAACCGTTTTTGAAATATATATATATATATATATATATATATATATACATACATACATACATACATACATGGATACATACACATGAAGAATGAATGCAGAAGAGTATAGGGAAATGTTTATTATCCTGGATGATAGCTATGTTTAGCAATGTGAGAAAAATAGTTATATATGTACACTGGCATGAAAAAGAGCTCTAACATTATATTCTAAAAATGTATTAATTTGCTTTTAGCTATAAAATTTTTTGACTAAATTAGATCTTTTGCAAAAAATAATTTTAAAAAGATGAGATTCTGCAAATCACTTGAACGCAAAATATTTTAAAATTCCAATCAGCATTACAATATAGCCTTTATACTTGAATAGGACTGGTTCATTACAGGATGTCTGCTGCTATTAGGGTCTGGTCAGCAGATGTGAAGGATTTGTAACGAATTATTAAAAATGAGTGTTTTTCTGATTACAGTATAAGTAGTTCTCAGCTACATCTCATTTCCATATTATCAAATAGTAAAGGTTGAGTAGAAATATGATTTATTTTTTTGTTGAAAAGATATCTCTTGAGACGCCTGGAATAGACTATATTGCTTTATCATTGCTTTGAAGCAGTTTTTTTTTTTTATTTATACTTCCCAAGTTGATTACAGCACTCTACTGTCTTTAAGAACCAACCATCCAAAGTAATTGTGTAATAGTAATTTCATTATTATGATCTTATGTAATAGTCTAATAGCCCAATTTTAGACTACATGGCATGTTAAAAATTTAAACAGAAGTGAGATATAATAAGCAAAATTCAAGTAAAAGCTGTTTAGAGTTTTTTTTCATATGCATGCCAAAAAAGCTAAAACAATTTGTAACAAAAGATGGTCATTATGACCGCTGATATATTTTATTAAAATAGTAAGACCAGAATTTATTATGTTAATGATCTACTACTATTGAAATAATAACGTAATAAAAATGAAGGATTCAAAATTAAATTGGACTTTTGGATTTATGACCCTAAGGCAATGATATAGTCTCATTACTATAATTGAGTCCAGATGTCAAACTTCCACAGTGGACATACACCCCATACCCTAAACAGTGAACACAAGCGCCACTACTTCCTGGGCATGTCGGTGTGAAATAGGCCATCATATTAGAATCGCCATTTAATTTCACTTTATTCTTCCACTGTCCAAGGCTGACTTGTTTACTACACCCATGTGGATGCGACACAAGAAACATTAACTTATCGATGTCTCTTTTTGGTTTGTATCTATCGTTTATTTTTCGATATAGGTCGTAATATTGTTTCACCATGTTCTCAAGCTTGTCAACAAGTTTGTCATTACAGGTTACATAATCTAAAAGGCACCAGTCTTTAACCGTGTTTTTAATTACACGATCTGTATCTTTCAAAACAACTCCTTGATTATCTTCTGTGTCGTAGAACAAACAGCATGTTGAATGACTAGCCTCTTGGGTATTGAAAACAACACTGGCTGCTGTCCGAACAGTTATCGCCCACCAAACTTTGTTTGGATTCCCTGAAAGTTTACATTTACGACATGGACAGGTATCTTTGACTTCTTTCCTAACTTTAATCACCATTCCACTCCCTGTTCTTAAATGTTGACTTCTTCTAATATTGTATAGAAAATACGGGATATTTGTGTTTGGCCAAAATTCTGGTCTGGCGAGACTAGTCAAACTGACACTTATTCTAACTGTCATGTCAGCTGCAACTTTAATGAACTCATACAAATCTTTATTTTGGTGACCTGGAGGTAGATGTTCAAGCCTGAATTCATTCACTGGTATAAAATTTGTATGATTCGGATTCTTATAACAGTCAACTAGTTGATTATATAGATCAGCTTCTCCTCCTTCAGATATTTGTTGTTCATGATGACCTGTTGACGAATCCATTATATACTATATATTAATATATATAATGAATATATATATATATTTAAACTTTGTTGTAAATTATATTACAAGTTTATTAATCTATGAATTACAAAAAAAAATTTGTTACCTATGATATGATGACAGGCCGCAACGCAAGGAACATCAAAAATGCCTGTTTCTTTACAAATAAACTCTGAAATAAAATAAAAAATTGTCTCGAATATTATAAACCATTTTCGAATTAGTTATACTTTTGTTAATTAGTAATGATTTATTTTACATGTATAAAGATTGCTTGTAAATCTCTTGTAATTTATTATAAAAAGAAAATATTCAATAACTTTCAATAAATACTATTCTTGAAATTTATGAGCTTAGTAAAATAGTAAATACAAAATGATGTGAGAATGTGAGAATCCGCTACATCTAAATTTTAAAAAATGTCAAACTAATCTTCTTACATGGAGTTATCTGTTTTGAACTTTATAGATCTTGAATGAAATATAGATCCAAGCATCTAATGGTAATGACTAAAGACTTAAGAAAAAAACAAGAGGCCTTTGTAGCTTCATTTAAAAATACATCTTTTTTAATCTGACCTAGATCTATATTTATTCTAGTTGTAGAGTTCAACATAAGCGTTAAAAAAAAATCAAAAAATAAAAATAAAACATATAAAAGCGAATCGTATTGAAATGAATTAGTTATTAATGACAAACATTCAATTAAAATTTTGGTTTATTTCTATCACTTCTTTCTCATTTAATTTGTACCACTGCGCTGCGCATACGCGCGATATTATGAGCTATTAAAATATTGGTTATTTGGTCTAGATTCATTAAAGTCTATTGGGTTCGTAGAGTTGAGCTACTTATATCAGCGTCTTTATCTTTTAGTAGGACACATAAAAATTTATTTGTGTTACCGCTAACATCCAAGGAACTATTATGCAAAGTTTTATCAATATTGGTCTAATGGTAATCATTTGTAATCAGAACATATATATATATATATATACATACATTACATTTAATTATGTATATTAGATATTGGTTTGATTTTAGCAGCCTCCGAAAAGGGAAAAGACACTATTCGTTTTGTGTGAAATGTCTGTCCGTCTGTCTGTCCGTCCCGTTTAGATCTCGTAAACTTGAAAAAGATAGTGAAAATCAGACATTATTATATTTTAGTCAATTCAAAAGTTGTTGTGATGCAACGGCTATTTTTTTCTTTTCTAAAAGCGAAAAAGTCTAATAAATAAATCACTTATGCAAGCAGTTTATTTCATAAAAATACACCACTTTTACAACTATTCACTATTAATAGTAACAAACACTTGAGGGAAGACTATAACTTGCCATATTTTTAACACATTTATGCAAACGTTTGTAGATTAGAAGAAATTTCTACAAATCAAATAAGAACATAAAAACTAAAATGCTATTTAACCTTGGTTAGGCCAATAATAGAATATGCATCCTCTGTTTGGGACCCCTCAACTCAAGAAAACATTAAGAAACTGGAACAGACACAAAATAGACCAGTGATTTTCATAACAAATGAATATTCACATTTGACTAGAGAAACACCTTTAGTAAAATCACTAAATTTAGAAAAGCCTTCTGGATAGAAGGCTTAACAGTAAAGTATCAATTATACATAAGAAACTGGAACAGACACAAAATAGAGCAGTGAGATTCATAACAAATGAATATTCACATTTGACTAGAGTATCACCTATAGTAAAATCACTAAATTTAGAAAGCCTTCAGGACAGAAGACTCAAAAGTAAAGTAGCAATTATACATAAAACACTGAACCATAATCTTCAAATACAAAAACAAAATTTAATAAGATACTCTGAAAGACACAAAGATAAAGGCACATTCCTCATCCCATATGCTAGGACAAATTTGTACAATACTCCTTCTTCCCTAGTGCTATCAGAGAATGGAATGGGTTGCCTGAGCTAGCCAGTAAAACCTGTGACTTGGCAGAATTTAAAGCATTGGTTAATATGCATGACTAAATGCATGACGCGTAGGACGTAATCATCTTCTTTTTTGAAGTAACGTCTGTATTATATAAGAAAAGATAAGATAAACACAGAACCATAATCTTCAAATACAAAACAAAATTTAATAAAATACTCTGAAAGACACAAAATAAAGGTTCATTCCTCGTTCCATATGCTAGGATAAATTTGTACAAAAGCTTCTTCTTCCCCAGTGCTATTAGAGCATGGAATGGGTTGCCTGAGCTAGCCAAGAAAATAAATTACTTGGCGGAGTTTAGGCAATTTGTTAATATGTATGGCTACATGCATGACGCTTAAAACGTAATCATCTTCTTTTTTGAAGTAACGTCTGTATCATATAAGATAAGATAGATTTTTTGTCAATTTTTTTAAATATATATTTGTATTGTTAAGTTATTTAAGTTTTGTTATACTAAGTACTATATTTACACACAAAAAATGTTTACTATTTTTTTACAGAGAAAAAATCTATGTAGTATGCATATAAGTTAGACAACAATTAATAAGTAGTTTTTCATATTATCACGTGAACTGCAAAGCTGAGGAGCCACTATAGAATACATAACTAAAGAAACAAAAATTGTTTTTTGGATTTTTTTTTTTTACGGAAATGTTTTATTTCTGAGGAATAAGAGATTGGCCTTTACAAAACAATTAGATCAATTAGATATTCATTATAAGACATCAGTTAGGCCAGGTTCACATCTAACTTCACATTTACCTTTACCAATCCTTTGGTCTGCTGGACCGCTGGGGCGCCACACAAGATCTGTTAATTTTTTTTCTCCATCATTTTCTGTCATTTGTCTTTGATAGAATTTTATTCTGATAATTTTGAAACCTGCCTTTTTACCTGTCTGGGCCGATTTTTAGTTTGAGTTTCCACACAAACTGTCTTTGTAACCTTGTTTTTACTTAAAAAAGGAATGTATTAAAAATTCCTCTGATTATTATACGTATTTAGGCTCGGAGAGTATGATGTTCAATTTTAAATACGCTTTTTAAATGCTGTTAGCCCTTTCATTTGTTACACATGAAATGTAAATATTGTCTTAAATAATGCTCGGGCAGATGATGCAGGGGATTCGTATAGCTATTGGAAGAATAATTTTCTTTTCCGCCAGAGACAAAACCACAGAGTGACTGCAAGATTTCCGATAGAATTATGGAATGTTAGAGATCGAGTACAAGGCAATGAACCACAAACAAACGGTTTAGCACCATGCATTTCTATCGATGTTCATGTTCGCTGTTCATCATCCAAATGTCAACACGTTGATAACTCATATCCTGAGAGAACAGGAATACACTCAGTTTAAGGGTACACTGAGAACATGATTCTTAGAGACAATTCTGGAGAATGAAGTAAAACTGCAGGCACGACAAGGAACACCAACCATTTGACTTTGTGAAAATCATTTTTGGTAAATCTGACAAATATGGAAGTATGCTTGTGTGTTTTTAGAAGTGCCTTTTTGGTATAT